AATTGGGACTTAGCAACTTTTCTTTCTAAGCTAGCGATATCTTAGATTGAATTACATTTGGTGTTGACCTGCACAAGAAAAAATCCTAATATCTGCACTTTCACTTTTATGGGGTGGTATACTTACTTGTAAGTATGCAACGGCTACACTTCACCAAATAAATCGCTGCCAAAAGTGGACGGACACCCAGAGATCCTAGCGCAACGGCCGCACTTACTGTAAAACGCAGGTTTTTGAATAAAAATTTTGAACAAACTTAAAAATTTTTTTTTTTAATTTTTAATGATATTTTCTCTTATACACCATGCGTCAGTCAATTTTACACACGAAAAAATCAACATATTTACAAAACTGGGAGCCAAATACAGTAAAACGACGTTTTTAGTTTTTCTCTCTGACGTCAGGATATTTTTAAAAAGGATTTTGAAATTTCTAGAATATGATTGAATAAAAAAATTATTTAAAAGGTGCATTGTAGAATGTCAATATGGGTATCAACTAAAAGGAAAAATTCTGTCGAATAGAAAAAAAAATTAATTTTTGGGTGCACCATGACAAATAAGTATTGAAAATGTCCTTTTAAAATTTTATCCTTGAATATCCTTGGAAACTCCCATTATTTATTTTTGAAAAAAATGTGTCAAGGTATAATATGTTAACTACCACTTCCCCGAATTTCGCCCTTCTAACTTTATTAGTTTTAGATAAAAAAAAATTTACACTTCTCTTTATAAGATATTGACAGTTACAATATACATAAATGAAGATACTAGAATCATTATTATGGAACCATGTATGCGCTCAAAAAGAACAAACTGACCGTATGATATACCTACGGTTTAAATACTTCAATTGCTTTGTATACAAGGCCGTAGCCAGCCTCTCATCTAGGGGGCAGGATTGTTTTTAATTATATATTTTTTTTTGTGTTATAAAACGAAATTTTTGGGTTTAAGAATGTATAAGTTTTCTGGTATCCTTTACAACGATACCAATTTTTTAAAAATCGGTTAGCAATTTTTTGTTTAAAATATTTTTTTTTATAATAAAGGTACTTTTTGCCTTCAAGTGTTTTTTCTCAAATTTTTATACACGAAGTATACAAATATGCACACCAGAAGAAAGAGGGTTCAATCGCAACGATACCAAATTCTTAAAAATCGGTTGGTAAATTCTTTGTTAACTTTTTTTTTTTATAAAAGAAGTTATTTTTTCCTTTTAAGTGTTTTTTTTTTCTTAATTTTTTATATACGAAGTACACAAATACGCGTATCAGAAAAAAGATTTTATAGTGTTAAAAACGATATCAATTTTTTAAAAATCGGTTATTAATTTGTTTGTTTAAAATATATAAAGGTATTTTTTCCTTTTAAATGTTTTTTTCTCAAATTTTTACATACAAAGTATACAAATACGCATATCAGAAGAGAAAAAGGGGTCTAATCACGTTTGCAACGATAGCAACTTTTTAAAAATCAGTTCAAAATTATTTGAAATATAAGGTTTACAATTTTTCGAAGACTCGACCTTTGCCCCCTTATAGCACCTGTAATATAAGTTTGCAAAAAAAACTTAGAAACTATTTAAATGAGAGCAAAAGGCGGTCTAAGACTGTATTTTTAGTTTTTTAGTTATTTACATATAATAATAAAAAATTATTTTTTTACCAATGATCCTATTTCGAACTTCGAAGGTCCATATCTCGATTTCGGAGGCTAACTTCGAAAAACGGAGAAATTACTTTTTACCTATGACTCAATCTCTTAAAAAAATTGGTTTGGTCCAATACCCAGCGGAGTACAGTACAATGTAATGATTCTAGTATCTTCATTTATGTATGTATATTGTAACTATCAATATCTTATAAAAAAAAGTGTAAATTTTTTTTTATCTAAAACTAATAAAGTTAGCAGGCGAAATTTGAGGATGTGGTAGTTTACATATTATTCCTTGACATACATTTTTTACAAAAATAAATATTGGAAATTTCCAAGGATATTCAAGGATAAAGTTTTAAAAGGACAACACAACAACATTTATTCGTCCTGGTGCAACAAAAATTAATTATTTTTTAAATTCTACAGAATTCTTCCTTTTAACTGATACCATATCGTTACTCTACAATGCACCATATCTTTTAAATAATTTTTTTATTCAATAATATCCTGGAAATTCAAAGTCCTGTAAAAAAATTACTGACGTCAGAGAGAAAAATTAAAAACGCAGTTATTATTTGGCTCCTAGTTTTATGAATATTTTGATTTTTTCGTGTTTTAAAAATTGTTGGTTGTTGCCGCACGGTTTTACTAAAGCACTCTTAATTTTTTATAAACAACTTATAAACAGCGTTTTAATTAAGCGACTTAAGCTTAGTTGTTGGCTAACAAGAAAAATAGTTGCGAACCAGCATTTGCTTCAATCTACGAAAAAATAGTTTTTTGCCAAGTCTAGATTTTAAGGGTCATTTTAAAATCCTAAAATTGCAACGCACCCGCCTCTGTGCAGCAAAAAATGTGCGCCCAACAATGCAAGGAAAGCTTAACGCTGAAAAGCTGCAATCACAACAGACGGCCAATTTATTCGCCACTCGACTCACGCACCTGCTCTCTGAGAGCACTCTTCAACAATCCGACATACGCGAGCAGTGGAACCACATTTCCCGATCATTATACTTAAATTGTGGAGGGAACACTTTTATAACCTACTGAATGGCAGGGTCGCTGAAAGTAGTGAAGAAGACGAACCCGAGTCCCCAGTCGATGATGATGGAGTAGCTGTCCCACCGTCTGACTATGACGAGGTACGAATAGCGATTACGCGGCTGAAAAATAACAAAGCTGCTGGAGCTGACGGCCTACCAGCCGCGCTATTCAAGTACGACGGCGAGGAGCTGATAAGGTGCATGCATCAGCTCGTATGCAGAATATGGTCAGATGAACGCATGCCCGACCAACGGAATTTAAGTGTGCTCTGCCCAATCCACAAGAAAGGCGACCACGCCATACGGGCCAACTACCGCGGAATCAGCCTTCTAAGCATAGGTTATAAGGTCTTATCAAGTGTATTGTGCGAAAGACTGAAGCCCACCGTAAACGAGCTATTGGACCTTATCAGTGTGGCTTTAGGCCTGGAAAATCCACCATAGATCAGGTATTCACAATACGCCAAATCTTGGAAAAGACCCGCTAGAATAGGATCGACACACACCATCTATTTTTCGATTTCAAAGCCGCTTTCGACAGTACGAAGAGAAGTTGCCTTTATGCCGCGATGTCTGAATTTGTTATCCCCGCGAAACTAATACGGCTGTGTAAAATGACGTTGAGCAATACCACCAGCTCCGTCAGAATAGGGAAGGACCTATCCGAGCCGTTTGATTCCAAACGAGGTTTCAGACAAGGGGACTCCCTTTCGTGTGATTTCTTTAATCTGATGTTTGAGAAGATAATAAGAGCCGCAGAACTGAACCGCTCAGGCACAATACTTTACAAGAGCGTACAATTGCTGGCGTATGCCGACGACATCGATATTATCTGTAAAAACAAGGCTACGTCAGTTCTGCCTTCTCGGGATTGAATAGAGAAGTAAAGCGAATGGGTCTGGTGGTGAACGAGGACAAAACGAAGTATCTCCTGTCATCACACAAACAGTCAGAGCATACGCGTCTTGGCACCCACGTCACTGTTGACAGTTACAAGTTTGAAAAAGTAGACGACTTCGTTTATTTGGGAACCAGCATTAACACCAATAATAATGTCAGCCTTGAAATCCAACGGAGAATCACTCTTGCCAACAAGTGCTACTTTGGGCTGAGTAGGCCATTAAGAGGTAAAGTCCTCTCTCGTCGTACAAATATCACACTCTATAAGTTNCGAGAGAAAGATTCTGCGAAAGATTTACGGGCCTTTACGCGAATATCGCAGACGATTTAACGATGAGCTGTATGACCTTTACAACGATATAGACATAGTGCAGCGAATTAAAATTCAGCGGCTCCGCTGGCTTGGCCATGTCGTTCGAATGGACAGAAACGCTCCTGCTCTGAAAATATTCAACGCGGGCCGCGATGCTGGTAACAGAGAAAGAGGAAGGCCTCCTCTGCGTTGGAAAGTCCAGGTTGAGAAGGACTTGGCTTCACTTGGCATTTCCAATTGGCGTCAGTTAGCACAGAAGAGAAATAACTGGCGTGCTGTTTTGGACTCGACCAAAATCGCTTAGTCGGTTACAGCGCCAATAAAGAAGTTTGCAACTGTCCTTAACTTGACCGGATGCACAAATATTGAGATTTTTTTTCTGTCACATAGCGCAATTTGTATTCAATATGTATTTATCTCTCAATACGATGTCAAATTATATACATACATACATATGTACATATATAAAAATCCTAAATAAATTTGATTTCAAAATAACTGTATTCTCACCTAAAGAAATTAAGAAAAGAAAAGCGCTTTTCCACCCGCATTAGTTTTCTTTAATATTTTCCTTTTTGTACATATTTTATTACAAAAAAAAATTAATTCCATGTCAATTTAAAACCATCTTACCATTAGTACGCACCTTATGAGGAAAGAAAATAGTTCTGTAATTTTTTTAAATTTATTAAATATTCTTACAATACAATTATCATTTCATCGTTTTCAGCATTTGAAACGTTTCATTCACAAATTCGAAAGTTCATTACCAGTTTCGTAGTGACTCATTTTTTGTTTTTAACATTATAATTATGTATGTATTTATGGTAATTGCTGTGCCAACCACTCCCACTCTCAACATCTTTCTTATATTATCTACATTCTATATGTATGTATAGACGTTAAATATTTCGTTCATCGTTTAATTTTTTGAAATATTTCCCCTTATATAAACCTGCTGCGCTTGCGCTCTCCCAAATGTACAACCATACATATGTATGTACATATGTATGTATACATATAAACTTTAGTGAATGAGAAAAACAATGGAGTATATATTTTTTTGGTGAAATTTATTTATGTATGTATGTACTATGTAAGTATTGCCCACGATGACTCTCAACCCCGAAATAAGTTTGCATTAGGACTTTATTCCAACTGTTGTTTGCGAAATATTTTTCCACAACTCATTTAGGTCGTATTTTATGTAGCTGCACTGGTTTTTATTTTAAGCACTTAGTAATCCCAGTTGGTAAATCGTAGAGCTCTGCAATATTCTTCATAGATCTCATTTTTTCTATTGGAAATATGCCTAATTTTCATCCAGTATGTTAATATTTGAAATAAAGAAGACATTAGCATCAACAATTTGGAAACAAATATATTGTTTTCTGTATATGGATATATCGATCGTAGGTACGCATCTTTTAAAAGCTTTCACCAAGAAAATTAATAAGCCCAGTAAAATATTCCTTCAGATTAACTCTATTTCGTAAACTCTTGCTTTTGATATTCACACTAGGACAGCAAACCGGAAATTCAATACCAATCGGATAACAGAAAAGATAGAAAATCTGCGCCTCCATAAGGTGTATAATACGCCTACCGGATTCCTAAAATTTAAAATTCTTTTCAGCAAAAAACTAAAAGTCTTGTATTTTTACAATATGTACCCATGTATTTGAAAAATGAATTATCGTTATTGCGAATGTCGCCTGGAGCTATGTAAACTAACGACTACTAACCTATTAACGTTGGTTTTGTGAGTGCCAATTTTCGTTGAACTAACGACTGTGAATAGCATCTTTCCACAGATATTTGGTGGTCGGTGGAGGTGCAGATTTCGTATTAAATTTAGTACGTCCATGTAAGAACTACAAAACTAAAGTTGTGAGTAAAAAGGCAGCGAAGTTTTAGCGAAAGGTATTTATGGAAAGACACAGGCAAAACTTACCCCCCTATTATGAATTTTCATACGATAGACCAGTGCTCGTCAAACTTTTGAGTGTGACGGACCGGCTGCAGTTTTTCTATTACGTCGGGGACCGGTACCTTTTTTTATTGATTATTTTTCGTTTACGATCATCTCATATATGTATTAAAATTTGTTTAAATGAATTTCTTTATTAGCCGGGTGTCTATATATGACCTATTACCATTTAATGATAGCAGATATTAGCGATTTTTTATGAATGTTTAACAAATTTAAGTTGTTTTTATTATACAAGTTGTATATAGCCTCATTAAACAGGAATATAAAACATCAAAAAATCGTTGTCCATTTCGCGACGCCCTTTGCGGACCGGCGACTTATGGCTTACGGACCGGCACCGGTCCGCGGACCACCACTTTGACGAGCACTGCGATAGACGATAAACGCTTGCAAGCATATCGTATGATATCAGTTCTCANGAATTATCGTTATTGCGAATGTCGCCTGGAGCTATGTAAACTAACGACTATTAACCTATTAACGTTGGTTTTGTGAGTGCCAATTTTCGTTGAACTAACGACTGTGAATAGCATCTTTCCACAGATATTTGGTAGTCGGTGGAGGTGCAGATTTCGTATTAAATTTAGTACGTCCATGTAAGAACTACAAAACTAAAGTTGTGAGTAAAGGCAGCGAAGTTTTAGCGAAAGGTATTTATGGAAAGACACAGGCAAAACTTACCCCCCTATTATGAATTTTCATACGATAGACGATAAACGCTTGCAAGCATATCGTATGATATCAGTTCTCGTATTAACGTTTTCATATGCCCGACAGGTGTATTGTTGTTAATGGCTGTGGTTTTTGTTCACTTTTACTTGCAAACTAGCACAAATCAGCTACGCTAACTATCGGATTTCATACGACAACATCGATTCGTAATAGAGAACAACAGAATACAAGCGTTTATCGTGCATCGTATGAATTCATAATAGCGGGGTTAGATGGGTAGCCATTCCAGCAGAATTAAACAGCTTGGGGCAACTACCGCTTTCATGGGAAAAGTAGTTAAGTCAAAGAAAAGTATGGAACATAAATGAATTAAATAATGCGAATAAACACCCCTATTACGAGTGTGGACTATTAGTAGATAAACGACTCTTATNCGTTTATCGTGCATCGTATGAATTCATAATAGCGGGGTTAGATGGGTAGCCATTCCAGCAGAATTAAACAGCTTGGGGCAACTACTGCTTTCATGGGAAAAGTAGTTAAGTCAAAGAAAAGTATGGAACATAAATGAATTAAATAATGCGACACATTTTGGCGTCGGTTTGGGCAGATATGATCAGCAACACGCAAAATAAACACCCCTATTACGAGTGTGGACTAGTAGTAGATAAACGACTCTTACAGCGGTTTCTTTTCTCGAAATTATGTTGCATTTATTCTACCCTGCGCCAGGTCTGTCATGTTTTCGTGTTCCTTTCTCAGCATCTTCACATGCATATTGCGTGCTCTTTCTTTAAAATGTTGTACTCTGATAATGTTGCCCCATAAGGTGACATTTTTTCGAGAAAAAAAAACGCCATTAGTCGATTATCGACTATCCATGGTATTACCAATGTTGTTTTCTCGTTCAATAAGTGAGTGGGAATAGTTTTTAGTCGCTCATCCTTCTAAAAGCAAACAGTTGTAGAAGGATGAGCGATTTAAAATATTCACAGTCGTCTATTTCAACGAGAAATCAACATCCACAATACCATGGAAAAGCCATAATCGAATAATAGTCGTTTACCTACTACTAGTCGACACTTGCAATAGTCGCAATGTCTAAAAATTTCATACAATGGAGGCCCCAAAAACACCCAATATACTTTTACGCCGATGGAGGAAGCGATATAGAATTTTTTGATATGACTAGAAATCGGAAACAGCAAATCTAGAGCTCATTTTGAAATAGTAAAAGAGGACCAATGAACTTGTCTCAGCGATTCAACTGAAGTAAATATGAAAGATTAGGAAATGCTGGAAGCCCGAGAATGCGAAATACGAGAGGAACTTTTAATCGTTCCCACGACAGTCGGGTCTACGTAACCGGAACGACCCAGATTTATATCTGGCCAAGGACTGTCACTCCAGCAATACTCCCCAAAAAGTTTTTGGGGAATTTGTATGCTGCTACAACAACAACAACAACAGGAACATTTACTCTAAAAACAAAAAAAATATGGCATAATAGAAGAGGATATCCATTTACTGTTTTTTTTTATAGAAATCTTCGTTTTATTAGATTTAGGCCACTCAAATCGTTTTAATGTTATCATCTAAATAACGCACAAATGTAAGGAAAGTGTCCAAAAGCTGCTTACAATTAAGCAAATATTCACAAAACTGCAAATTTTTTTCGCTCAAGTTACAAAATAATAAATAAAATAATTGACTGAATCGACTAATGGCTTTTCTACGACCAATCGACACTCGCAATAGCATTGAATATACATATGTATACCCATATATAACCCTACCAGCTAATAATTTTTAATCACGAAATCACGGAGACCAAGTATGCGCGAAGAATATTGTAAAAATAAAGTATAGTTTAAAAAACTAAAACGTCCCTACTATAATTGCCATTCGTACTGTCATCAGGTATGTAACTTGAGAATAGAAATCGGTGCATCTTTTAGCCGTATCAATATTACATAGTTACATCTCGAGCTAATAAAAGGAAGGTAACAAAAAGAGTAAATTTTCGATTTAAAGTTTAAATTTTCGCGTATACTAAATTGCTGCCTTAAACAATTCGCTAAAATTAGCTAAATCTTTTTATAAACATATTCTGTTAAATCTCTATTGTTACAAGTCGCATGTGAACGCTGGCTTCATAATCAATAAACGAAATATTCAAAAATCTCACGCGTCAAATTTTTCTTTTTTTATTTGCGTTTCCATACACATAATTTAACTTCAAAAGCGACCAATGAAATTGAAGTATTTAATTCCGTTTTAATTCACGAATCAAAATCATTCCTCCCCGCAACTTTAAAATTCTACCTTTAAGCGCGTTCGTTTCTTTTAAACATGCTTTGTATATATGTATGTATGTATGTATGTCCATATGCATGTAAACGTGAAATGTGTGTGTATGGTACTATATTCAAATTGGCCATGCTACAGATATTGTTTCGTTATTTATGTTTTAATAGTGTTTCCTTTAATTTTAAATGTTCAATTTCTTTAAAATTATAATTAGTTCATTTGATTACAATAGATGTGTTGGTTGGTTGGGTTGCCTTCTCTTTGTTGTTTTTTTTTTCTTTTATAATTATATAAATTTTAATAATTATAATATATTTAATAAACCATATTTATAATGTTTTGCTCTGGTTGTTGCTTCTGCTGCTTCTTATGTACCCGTAGTCGCCGTCATCGTCGTCTTGCCGTCGACCACGTCCACGTCCACATTGCATCGTCGTCGTCGCCTTTCTACATACTGCCTCAGCATCAACACTCCCCCCTTCCTCCTCCATTATACCATTTGTTTCAACTGCACCTTCATTTTCATAGCGTTGTGTTTTTGCATCTGCTATTGACCACACCGTTCGTCTCCGTTGTCGCTGCTGTTGTTGCTGCTGTGCGAGATTGGATTTGTTCTTGTTGTTCTGGATGTGGCTGTGGATGTTTTCGTTCTGTTGTTTCTTCTGTTTGTTTTTATGTTGCAGTTTTAGTTTTTGCGGTTGCTGTTTTTGTTTATGTTCATGTCATGGCTGATGAGGACGATAGCACTACCTAGAATGTTGTTGTTGCGGTTGTGAGCCAGTAGCCGCTGCGCCTCCGCCAACTGGTGGGGGTGGTGGACGGCCCCGTCGCTCAATGCCTCTGTCAGCTGTCGATTTACCGCCAGCGGCTCCAGCCCCACCACTTGCACTAGTGTTGCTGGTTGATTTCTTTTTTGATGCGTAGGTTTGCTGCTGTGCTTGCTGTTGTTGTTGTTGCTGCTGCTGCAATTGCTTGTACTCGTCGGCAATATCCTCCGGCGAGGTCTGTTGCTGCTGATGCACCTGTTGGCGCCCACCGCTTACATGCATGCTGCCGCCGCCGCTGCCACTGGTGTTTGTGGTTTGTGCCGAGGCATCTGTGTTATTGTTCATCAGCGATTCCCTCGCATTGGCGTCGCTTTTTGTGTTCGCAGCCGAGACTTTCTCATTATTTACATTATCACTGTTGGTTTCCTGCGATTCGCCGCGATTTTCGCGCTCAGCTTCGGCACCACTAATTGCAATAGCGTCAAGCGAGTCAAAGGAAAGTGTTGACAACAGAAGCGCTTGTACAAATTGTGAACTGTATTCAGAAGAAAATGGAGAAAAATTCACATTTTTATTAAGGAATTATTATAAAGATAACATTTTTGAAATATACAACACTATCAAACTGAGGAAATTGGATTGGCGAAACACCACGGGTATTCCGTCAAGCTAAGAGCTTACTAGGGAGGTACAACCTAAAGAGTTACGGGTTACTCATAAACTTCGCCAAGGTGAGGCTTAGAATTATTACAGGTTTTTTACGGGTCATTGTAGGCTAAGTGGCATAAGATAGGGATTTGATCAAACAATCTTTGTCGTTTTTGTGACTCCACCAAAGAGACATCATACCACCGCCTCCTGGAGTGTGAAGCCTTTTCGCGGAGACTGAACAGATTCTTAGGACATCTATGGCCAAGAGAAGAGCACATACGCTCAATTCCTCCGCGATTCATTATAAAATTTATACCGTGATTAGGGCAAGATGCAGTGCTCTGATGAGCTGTGATCACAATAGAGCTACTGGCCGCAGTTCTTACTTTATTTATGTATCTCTAGTATTGTGGGATTTAAAAAGGGATATATTTCGAGCTGTAAAAGCTTTTTGTTTTTCAAGAGATTAAAATAAAATTGAATTTTGCGGTAGCTTTGGGATTTTACCGAGACTTTCGAATAATATTATTTCCGGTTTTTCGTATTTTTTGGTATTTTTGGTAATTTTTCAAGATTTTCGGAGCGTATTTTTCGGGAGCTTTCGTCGTTCTTCGTGATTTATTTTTCAGGACACTTGGGATTTCTTTCGAATATTTTTGGTTTAAAAAGACATTTGGGCCCCTATTATGAGTTGCATTCGATTTTCGACTGTGGTCGAAAGTGCTGAGCGAACGAATTTTCATTTGGTATGATGGCGCTCATTCGATGAAGCGCTCGTTTAGGTTGTTCACAATAGTATATTTTTCACCGCCGAGAAGCTTTGTTTACAAATCGAGCAAACTATATAGTGTGCTTATACATATTTATATGTATAACAATTTAAGTGTTAGGGGTCAGAGAACATTGAACTCTGACGCCTGAGAAAGCCAAGTACAGCGTAAGATTTAGAAATGATGTGACTGATATGACTGTTAAAAGACCAATTAGAGCTGAAAATTATACCAAGGTCTTTGATTTCTTGAACTTTTTGAAGTTGAGTTTGAGAGATTGCATAAGACGTCGAAAGAATACTGTGACTTTTGGAAAAAGTAACTTGAAAACATTTTTTAATATTCAGAGAAAGGCGAGGGCTGAGACACCAACTGTGTAGAATATTAATCTCGGACTGAAGTCTAAGCGCATCATGCGAATGTTCAATCACAGCAAAAATTTTCAAATCGTCAGCATACAGCAAAAATTTAGCAAATGAAAAACAAGAACTCACATCATTTATAAATAATACAAAGAGTAAGGGACCTCAAATGCTACCTTGAGGAACCCCCGATGAGCAACCATTAACAGAGACCACACAGCGCCTATCCGACAAATAAGATTTGAGCCATTGCAAAAATACTGAGTGGAAACCCAGTGAGGCTAGCTTACTGCCCAACAAACTATGCGAAACTCTATCAAATGCTTTAGCAAGATCAATGTAAATGCAATCGACTTGGAAACCGTTCCGAGATAGCTGCAATATAATACTCACTGAAGACGCCTAGCTTAGTAACCGTAGATCGGTTGGGGACGAAACCATGTTGATTGGGTGAGACTAGACTTTTTCCTTGACGGCAACTTCAAAAAGTTTGGAAATTGTTGCAAGGTTCGAAATGGGTCTGTAATTACAGACATCACTTTTGTTTATCACTTTTAAGAATAGGGGTAATTGCAGTCAATTTCAATTCATCATAAAAAATACCGGGGCTAGAGACCTATTGAAAATAATTTTTAAAGGAGAGATCAAAGCAGGGCACTTCTTTATAAAGTTTGAAGAGAGCCATATATGTAATACTTCTATATTGGCAGTACGTTGAAAGTATATCCGCCAACATTAGAGTGCAGATATATAATTATAGAACGAGAAAACCAACCAACCAATGTACCCAGAATGACGTTTGAAAATAATACAAAATCAGGAGCGGTGCAGTAACCGTCAATATTTTACAAAATTAAATTTTAATTTAAGCCAAAAAAAGTGTTTATCTTTGGAACAAAAAGTAAGGAAAAAGGAATCGTGTTGCACGCGTCAGTATGTTATACTATTTACTTAAAAATGAGCTGTATCAGGGAAAACGGGCAGACGCCAAAGCTCGCCCCAATAACGTTCAGGAAAAAACTTTTGGTTATTTTATTTTTCTATTTTTTTAATATTTGTAATTTAAACTGCTCCTGGAGTGACTTGACCGTGGTTTGTTTGTAATAGTTCACAAATATACATTTATACTAACACAAGCAAACATTTATTTGATAGGTTGTCTCCCTTTGATTACGGAATAAAAACACAATTTGAAGATACGTTACTATCAATATAAGAAGTATTACATATATGAAGAGAGCCCATCAATATCTTGTTTTGCAGAAGCTGCTAGATTTAAAATGCCATTAGCAATATCGTCAGAGGAAAGTCTAAGGGAGCCAAAATTAGTAGAACTCACACTAGCAGAGAAACTAGAATCCACAGTAGGGTTATCATTTACGAAATTAGAACTAAACAAG